GTTTGTTTACTTTTAGAAAACTGTCAGCATGTAGATATCCAGCCTTGTTTGTTTACTTTTAGCAAACTGTCAGCATGTAGATATCCAGCCTTGTTTGTTTACTTTTAGCAAACTGTCAGCATGTAGATCTCCAGTCTTGTTTGTTTACTTTTAGCAAACTGTCAGCAGTAGGTCTCCAGCCTTGTTTGTTTACTTTTAGCAAACTGTCAGCATGTAGATCTCCAGCCTTGTTTGTTTACTTTTAGCAAACTGTCAGCATGTAGGTCTCCAGCTTGTTTGTTTACTTTTAGCAAACTGTCAGTATGTAGATCTCCAGCCTTGTTTGTTTACTTTTAGCAAACTGTCAGTATGTAGATCTCCAGCCTTGTTTGTTTACTTTTAGCAAACTGTCAGTATGTAGATCTCCAGTCTTGTTTGTTTACTTTTAGCAAAGTGTCAGCATGTAGATCTCCAGTCTTGTTTGTTTATCTTTAGCAAACTGTCAGCAGTAGGTCTCTTGCCTTGTTTGTTTACTTTTTTGCAATCCCTATATGTAGATTTTAAATTCACAATTTTTAATTATATTGTATGTTGACCTTTTTAATGCACAGCAATGGAGAAATATATGCCTAGAGTAAGATAAAAACCCCATTAACTGCATATAAAATTTTACCAGTAGAAAAGCAGCCTTTTCAAATAAAACAAATACATCTAAAACATCCCTTTAAATAATGCTTTGTGTTTTTAAAGTAATTATTAACTTTGTGCCTAGGTTTCATGTAAACACTTGTTTAACACTTGTATTAAATAAATAGCTGACAAACTATTGATTCCATTAATTGTTAATTGCTGATTAAATCAGCACTGTCAACTTATTGTCATAATCCACGAGGAAATCTTTAATTAAAAACTCTTAATATTTAATCAAAAAACCTGATATTTTGTGTGTGAAAGACTTGTAATGTTTCCTGATAATCTGCAAATAACTGTGTAGATGGAACTAAAATCTGTATCTGTTTAGCTGATGTAGAAGAAAGTTGAAATCCTCCATAAGAAAAGTTTCAATGAATCTTCAACTTGTTTTATGATTGTTAATTTGTTTGTTTTTAACTTGGTTGTATTTTGTGGTATTTTATAGGGTGTTATAGTATGAAGGTGTTTCAGTTGAAAATCTCTAAGAAAAGTTTCAATGAATCTTCAACTTGTTTTATGATTGTTAATTTGTTTGTTTTTAATGTGGTTGTATTTTGTGGTATTTTATAGGGTGTTATAGTATGAAGGTGTTTCAGTTGAAATTCTCTGTAAGAAAAGTTTCAATGAATCTTCAACTTGTTTTATGATTGTTAATTTGTTTGTTTTTAACAAGGTTGTATTTTGTGGTGTTTTCTAGGGTGTTAAAGTATGAAGGTGTTTCATGCTTCTTTTGATAGTGTTTTCACCTTAGTTAATCTTTAGAAAAAGAGAACGGTAAGATTGGGAAGAAGTTACATTTTAAGGTTGAAGATTACGGATGTTTTCTTGATGGTACAATATAACATTCCCAGAAAACTGTTATGATATAAAATGTTAGGTATTCTCTGAAGTAACCTTAGTCTAAAAAAAATTGTAATAATAAAGTATGAACAATAATAACTGTAAATAAGATTAATACCATTGCCTGAAATTTGAGTTATAGAAATTGTAAGACATCATTTTTAACCCACTAAGTTAAGTATGAAGTAGTGGAGCAGGTTAACCCTGTGTTTACTTTAGCTACATTTGAATATTAATTGGCTAAAGGAAATGAAGATATGAATACATGTATAAGGAGCCGTTTTAAAATTCACTTTGGTATAATGTAGTGAAACGTTTTTTTTTTAATTGTTTTAGAATGCCAGTGGTCTTTGTCTGATGTAGAAGATTTGGAGAACTGTTTCAAGACTTACCAGCAAACCAGAAGTTTAAATGGCAGCTTGATCAGAAAACAGTGGAAATCCTTAAAAATTAAACCTGTTTGTGTGAAGAACCTTCATAAAAAGAAATTCTTGTGCAAAAAAGATACTCGCATCAAAAAACCAGGTGACAGTTCCTCATCAGAATCTGAAGAGGAAGATGATGAAACTGTGATAAGCTCTTTGACTTGTCGCCCAATGTCACAGAAAGTTGCTCTTTGTAAACATTCTGTTGACTTTGATTATTTTTCGAAACCATATGCTGAATCTGAAATCGAAACGTGGCTTCAAAGTGCTCAGAATGAGACATTAGATTATCAGCATGGGGATCAGAAGTTTGTGGATCTACTTAAACGAAAGGTTTCTGTGATTGTATTCTGTGATACTATCTTGAATATCTTACAGCAGATTTGTTTAAGTGAACGGTGCCAACTTTGGAACCACTACTCAACTACAGCAGGGGAAGTCTTTCCTTTTGCATTAGAAACACTCCAATCTGTACAGAGAGGTACTCTTTTGCCAAGTATTTGGACATCTGAAAATGTTCAACAAATCCAAAAACAGTTATTGAGAATTTTATTTACCTGTGCCGAATCCCTTGTTGTTTCCAGAGGGTGTCGGGAGCCTTTTGATGACAATGCAACTGTAAAGTCACTTTTGACATGTCTCAGGGATGTGCTTTTAGATGTTGAAGGTGAAGTGATTGAAAACTATAATCAAGCTCAACAAAGTGCACCTATGTCCTTTACTGTAGATTTTTGTTACGAAGTAATGTGTGGAATCTTCCTTTTAATTCTTTCGCTAATAGAAACTACATCTGCATCACAAGATTTTACTAGGTTAGTCCATTTGATAAGAACTCTTTCGGAGGGCAGTGTAACTGCTATATGCTGTAAGATTATTACAAGTTTAGAATCTCAAACAGATCATGACAGAATTGATAAGTTGATTTTGCATATTCGAGAAGTTGTGTTGTCTTTGAAAAGAATCAAACTGCTTCATGTCCATCAGACTACCTGTAGTCATCAGAGGCACCACAACTGTGATCTTTCCTCTTCACTTTTTCACCATGATGATATCATTGGGTCTCACATAAATCACAGTATTACTAACAGGTCTCCGCTGTGCTGCATTGCTACAGTAAATTATCTTCTCCTATATATCTTCAAGGCTGCACAGGACCAGAAAACTATGTTGACTGTTTTAAAAGCAATAGGCAAAGTAGGAATTTGTTGTTGTTTAAATGTTACTGAAGTGTGGCAAGTTCTGCTGTCTAGGCTTCAGAGCCAGTCTCAGTGGGTTCAAGTGGCTATTTTCTCCCTCATGGAAAGGCACTTAGTTTGTCAGCTAGGTGGATCAACTATTAGCGAACAAAATCTTTGTAATGTATGCTGGGATAGGGTGCATGTACGAGTGAGAGATCAGGTCTCTCCTATGGGAAGTGAACTACTTAAATTCAACAGTGCTTGTTACACAAGTGAAAATAGTATTGAAGACTACACATCTGAGCTAGAAAACCCATGGTACATTGTTGAAATATACAAAAACTTGTTGGCATCAAGCAATGTGGAGCTCACAGTTTTAATTACAAAACATCTCTTGTACTTGGTGAAAACTGGTACTGAAGTTTTGAAGCAGCAACTTTTTTTACGAGTTGTGCTACCTTTGTTTTTAACCTTGGATGCTAGAGAGAGTGAAGACCACGACACTGTGAGCACATCACCCAAAAAACAACAACACATCATTCTCGAATGTTGTATGCTCACTCTTCCTTTTCTCCTGAAAGTTCAGAAGACTGTACATATATTCCAGGACACTGGGTGTCTACGTAAGTTATGCCGTTTACTTCAAGCACCAGCTTTCAGGCATATGGCATTGCAAGCTTTAGAGGTAATCATCATCTTGGAAACGGAACCTTCCATACACCAAAGTATCAACGAAAGTGTGGAGCAAGCTAGTTCCCAGTTAAAGTTGAATGATTTGACAGCTTTTTTAGCCTTCCAAGAGGTCTTGGCTCATTACAATGTTCAGTTTTTAAAAGAATCTGCCAGAATCTTTTCAACAGAGAATCACCATGAGCAGGAACTTCAGTCTTTGAAAGCTGCTTGTGTAAGTTTTCCAGAGTTAGAGAGAGAAAATGTTTTGACTGTAGACTATTCTAGTAATAATGATGACAGAGAAGAAGAGGGCTTGGTAACTAAATCAGAAGAGGAGTTACCAATTCTGTCAGCAGAAATCCACGCAAGAGAGCATTCATCTTTGGACAGTGTCAAACATGAGACTGAAATAAATGATTACAGAACTCTTGTACTGGTAGAAGATTTCCAAATCAAAAGTTTGAAGAATTTGTCCTTTCTTTGTGATCTCTGGTCAACATGCCACCATCTGGTCCAAAAGAGTTTGATATATCGAGAATGTCTTCAATCTCATCCTGTTGCTTGTGTGAGCTACGATCTTCTGGTTGCCACCATTCAAGAATTCATTGAAACTGCCTGTAATGAAAGAAAAACTAGCTGGACATCTCATGTTTCTTCTAGATGTAGATTGTGGAAAAAAAACTTGGTTAACCTCATTGAGACACTTCTGTCTATTGGTCTCCACCTAGGTCCTATAAAGTTGCAAGAAAGTGAGGTAAAGTTACTTATGTATAGAAGATTAGATACATTAATGTGTAACAATGTTTGATACAAAGGCCATAACATTTTTCTAAATTACTTCAACAGCATCAATACCAAATGTTTATAGGTAACCAGTTTAAGTTGGTTGAACTTAAAAATGTTAGAATTATACAGAAAATCTTTGCGAGGCTGCAGGTCTCGGGTGTAAATGGCACGGTTTGTGTCTTCTGCAATTTTCTTTTTGCCATCTTGCAACTTTTCACACTGAATGAGACATATCTATTTTACAGCTTAGTAACTAATATATCTTGTCACACTGAATGAGACATATCTGTTTTACAGTTTAGTAACTAATGTATCTTGTCACACTGAATGAGACATATCTGTTTTACAGTTTAGTAACTAATATATCTTGTCACACTGAATGAGACGTATCTGTTTTACAGTTTAGTAACTAATATATCTTGTCAATCTGAATAAGACGTATCTACCTTACAGCCTTATTCAGATTGACAAGATATATTAGTTACTTTGTGACAAGATATATTAGTTACTAAGGCTGTAAGGTAGATACGTCTTTCTAAGTGAAACGTATCTACCTTACAGCCTTAGTAACTAATATATCTTGTCACAATGAATGAGATAATATCTACCTTACAGCCTTAGTAACTAATATATCTTGTCAATCTAAATGAAACCTATCTACCTTACAGCCTTAGTAACTAATATATCTTGTCAATGTAAATGAAACACATCTACCTTACAGCCTTAGTAACTAATATATCTTGTCAATCTAAATGAAACCTATCTACCTTACAGCCTTAGTAACTAATATATCTTGTCAATCTAAATGAAACCTATCTACCTTACAGCCTTAGTAACTAATATATCTTGTCAATCTAAATGAAACCTATCTACCTTACACCTTAGTAACTTGTATATCTTGTCAGTCTAAATGAAACCTATCTACCTTACAGCCTTAGTAACTTGTATATCTTGTCAATTTGAATAAGTCGTATCTACCTTGCAGCCTTAGTAACTTATATATCTTGTCAATCTGAATAAGATGTATCTACCTTGCAGCCTTAGTAACTTATATATCTTGTCAATCTGAATAAGATGTATCTACCTTGCAGCCTTAGTAACTAATATATCTTATCAATCTAAATGAAACATATCTACCTTACAGCCTCAGTAACTAATATATCTTGTCAATCTAAATGAAACATATCTACCTTACAGCCTCAGTAACTAATATATCTTGTCACAATTAATGAGACCTATC